TTATGTATTTATTCTACAAGAAAAGTTAATTAAAAAAAATTAAAAAACAGCAACTATATATATGAATAGATTAAAAAGGGATGATAATAATACAAGATAACGAATCTTGATATGCAAATTATGAAATAATGTATAAAGAGGAATTTATCATACGGGCAAAAAAGCGTAACAAATGAACGTTTGTCCATCGCAAATTACGGTTATTACCATTTTCGCGTAAAACGCTAAGGGAAACAAGAGAATCGAACGAGAAAATGCATTATTACGGGAAAGTCAACATCATGATAATCGCGATTGTCACGAACACGTCGAGTGGGACAGCGCATATAAGGCACTCTTCTGATATAATATATTTTCGCGAGGGTCAAATGACCGACACAAAGAGCGTATTTTCGCGAAAGCATCTCGCAAAGGGAAACGAGAGAAGCCCGGGCTGATATATGCTCGAGCCTTACCCCTGAAAATCCGGGACGCTCGGCTTTCCTTCGCACAATTGGAAGATTTTCGAACGGCTCGATCCATGACAGACGTCATTTTTTATCCCCGTCAGGTCAGATAAGAGTATCCGCGTTATTTCGGAGGCAGCGAAGGAAAAAAAAACAAGTGAGAGGAGAACGAACGATACACGGAATCGATAATTCCGTCGGAGGGAATATCATCCCGCGTTAGCAACGGGTCGCGACGACGTGTATTAATCATGAAAATAAAAAAAAAAAAAAAAAAAAAAAAAAGAATAGAGCGGCAGAGGTTCAATTCGAAACAAATGCTATTTACATAGGCAATTCGCGGAGCGATGCGGTAATTGTAAACGCATATCCGGCGCCAGATGGTCCGCCAGATTTTATCTTGAAAAGCCGGGCAAAAAAAGCTCGCGCGCGGGTAAATTCATGGCGCAACATTTATATAGCAGCGCTCTCAGGCGGCAGTCCCTCTCTGCCACCCGGCAAGATAAAATTTCGTGAGAAAAGCACGCGCGCGCTCTCGCGCGCGGTAATATTTCCTTCGTAAATTTATCTGCCGTTATTCAAGCGCGATGAAAATAAACGTCACTCGCGCGCTCCGCGATCGAGGAGGCGACAATAAACACAAGCGTCGACCGACACTCGTCAGCCGATTAATCAGAGCGCGCATATTTCTAATTCCCGTCGTTTTGCATATGCGCGTGTTGTGTGTCCGCGACGCTGATCATTTGACGCCGAGGGGCCGCGAGTAGAAGATACGTATAGTAGTTTGCGCGCCGTATTTATGGCGCTTGTCCGACGAAATGAGCGAGTATATCACTGCGAATGTGTGTACTGCACCTGGTAACCACAAATTCGCGTCCATTGCACTTTGTGTAATACAACTTCTCGATCAATTGGTGGTCGATCTTTCCGATCATAACAAGAATATAATCAATCGAAGGTCGATCTTGCCGTCACAACAAGAATATCATTTATTCAAATATTAATTACGCTATATTAAAATATATGTTTTCATACATTTCTATTTCTTCGTCTTTTTTCCAATATACGCTGAAAAAAAAACAGTTTTTTTAACCTGACTAAACCTTTCAACTAGTTATTTTGTTAATTGAACATATAGAAATATTTAAATTAAATATAACATTAAATCTAACAAAATAATAATTTTGAAAGGTTTAATCAAGTTAACACATTTTTTTTCAGTGTAGTTACAACTATAAATTGTATCATTTTACGTCGTGAAAATAGACAGTAATAATTGTACGATGTAAAATTAATTTTTCAAGATCGTCAGAGCAAGATCTTCAATAGTTTTCAAAGAGAAAAAAGTGACATTTTTAATCAAAGCACATTAAGATCAGAAATGAATCGTAAGACGTAATAATAGGGAAATCAGTCGAAAGATTGGTTGATTAAAAAAATACCGTCATGCTTTGTGTTGGATTGAAATGGTGAGTTAAAATCACTTTGGGTCTTTATGATAGCCTTAGGGGATAACAATTACGCGTCCGAGTTTATTGCCGACAGAAATACACCGTTTTGCTGGATAACAAATTTTTCAAGACATTTAAACGCACGGGGATTTAATTAACTGAATTCTCTCCCTCGCTCTCTCTTTCGTCTCCCTTATTCACGATTCTTTTGTACCGCGGGAGTGACTCATCCACCGCCAATCGTGACAACAAGAGCATCAGCACGCTTGTCAATTCTCTCCTTTGTCATGCAAAAGCACACAAGGTTTCGTGCCGCTATTATAACGCGCCGTCCCATAGAATATACCGTTTTATTAATGCGATTATATACCCGCGCGCGACAATGGCGGGTGCGCGCATACAACGAGAGCCCCGAGACTCTCTCTCTCTCTGCATATCTCTTTGAAAATGAAAAAGAAAAAAAAAAGAAATGTGCGGAGAGAAGAGCAACGCAAAAGAGAGAGAGAGAAAACGCGGCCGAGAGCAGCCGGGCGTTTCATGACGTTTCATAACCGCAACGTATACACGGCCAGAAGGCGCGTGTAGCGTTGTAAAAAAATAGAGAAATAGCAGGAGAGAGGGAGGGAGAAAAAAATACCATCAGAGTCGGCATCCGACCGTATATTTATTCACGGTGACATTTTTACCGCGATGCACATTAGCCGTAGGAACGCACGGTGCAAGGCGAGGCTGATGCATCCTCGAAGATGTACACAATCCGGCACTTCTGTTCACGGCGAAAGTCGAGAAAAGAAGAAAGTTCCGCGACGGCCGGCTCCTTCAAGTTGCTGGCGGAAACGATACACTTTTCAAACTCGCATAATGCTTTTTTATGTGCGCGCGGCGTACCCACCTACCTACTTACATATCTACCTATCTATGGACACCATGCATTGTTCCACGGCAAACTTTTCTAGTGACTCGCGGAGTTTCCTGCTGCACGCTCTGCGCAACTTGGCGCACTGGTGAAACTATATATATATATATATATACAGGGTATCCCAGACCTACCGTATCACACGTTAATCGCAGATTCCTGAGACGATTTGGAGACGATTTTTCCTTAGCGAAAATGTCCAGGCATCAATTATTTTCGAGTTATAAACGATTGAATATAAAAGCTTTTTTGTAAACTAAGCCTTGTAAAAATAAATGATTAACAAAACTATATTTTTATAAAAATCTAAAAGATTTTTATTAATCATTACTGGCGAACCTTAAGAATTTTTATCTGCTATATTTTTTAGTTAATTTCAGGTAAAGTTTACTTTAATAGAATTTTAATTTAAGGCTTAGTTACAAAGAAACATGATTTCAAAAATTGGGAACATTAAAAAAATGATGATCTTTCTTGGCCTTTTCATAACGTGTGATACGGTAGGTCTGGGACACCCTGTATATATACAGTATATATCCGCTGACATTTGACGATGCTGTCGGACTAGAAAGATGGATTTTCGAACAAATGCATCTGAAAAAATATTGCTCTGCAAGTATGAGGGATTGAGGTAGATTATGCGGTAAAAAAACTGTTCGACAACGATAATCTTGCTCGCGATTCCCGTGTTATTTTAGCAAAGTTAGGTAACAAAGAGCTAAAATTTCTGAAATGGAATCTTCGTAACATTTAAAATTAAATTTATAATTGCAATTGCGTTTCGCGAGACGACGCGGTAATCCTTTTTTGTTTTCGCGTCTCATATGCGAAGAAAAATTTTTGAATTCTTTCGATATAATATTTCCTTTTCTTTGTTATTAAATTTTACTTCTCTCGCATTGCTAAAATAGTGTTTGTTACACAATGCCGCTGATATGATAGCTCGGTGTAACGAGATTATTAAGAAAGAATTAGAAATATAGAATTAAAAAATGTTTAATAGATGAGAAGCACACATACGTACCAATTTTTATTATCGATATCGTGGATAAACGTTAAAGTGTGGATTGGCACATTGTACATCCATCTCATACCTATCTATTTGAAGTCTTTTTGTCTAAAAAGGATGGAAACTACCAGGAAAGAGCACTCAGTTTTACGTTGAAATATTTAATGGACTGTACTGAAAACCTGGTATTTCGAGTTACAACGTTTCTAGACGAAGTTGTCGATAAGCCGATTTCCATGTACTCGAAACCTGATGAATTAAAACTCACTCAGCTTTCGTATTGTGCGTTCACATACTTTGAAACACACACATACACATATTTTCAGATCGTGAAAAATAAAGAAAAATTGTTATCATAAAATGAAAATGGGTCTAAATCTTTCATACTGATTCTTAATAAATATTTCCGTACGTATGTATGTAATCACACTAGTGAAATTTTGTAAAAATTAAAAAAGGTAAGAATCTTCTCTCGACCGTACTGGCAAATATTTATTCAATCACAACGTGATTGAATAAATAATATTTGCCAGTACGGTCGAGAGAAGATTCTTACCTTTTTTAAATTCTGTCTGGCGATTCTCAAATATCTACGTTTTAATTTGTAAAAATTGTTCCATATAATTAAACACTAAGTTTATTTACTGAAACCTTTAAAAATATTTCATATTTTCACTCAAAAATATCATGCACTTATTTTTATTATATAGATACGACGAAAAGAGTATAGACAAACAGCTCATAATTATTATGACAGCGCCTACCATTTATAATTATCTAGCAATTTGTTTTCATAAAGTTTTATAATTGTCGTCAAAATAATATTTATATCCCATTACATGTATATTATATAGAAGCAATTACATGTCGCAATGTATATCGATAAAAATATTTTTATCTTAAATTGTTTTGATCTAACTATTATTATCCTTCAACGATATTAAAACAAAGTAGATTATAAGCTCAAATATGGCACCCGTTGTTTTTCTACTTTATTTTAGATATCTGCATACATATCTTTCATTAAACAGTTTTATTTTATCCTCTACGTTATGCATAAAATTGAGAAATTTTATGATCTGTTTCTTTTCACGTTAAAGTTCTCGCATTATATCAAGTATGACGTTTAATTCTGTGCAAAAGATTTACATCTGACCATATATCTTTTTATGTTACAGGTCTCGAGAAGTACAGGGATACTGTCACATTTTGTCAATCTAAATATAGTGATACCAGAGGCGTTTATATTAGGAAGCGAGGAGCATCACGTCGATGTAGGCTCTATCATAAATCTCGTATGCATAATAGAGAAGGTAAGACGCATTGCATGTTGCATTCGTGAGACATTTACTTTATACGAGCATCGAGCGAGTGAATTAAATGTAAATAATAGAAATTTCGCGATAAACGCGCACGCAGTTTTCTCTTCGAATAATCGACTTATTTTTCAACGTTTTACGTGTTCATAACGAGAGCTTATTATATTATATCGCGTACGTATAGCAAGGATACCATTAATCAATATCGATCGTTTTGTATTCGCTATATTTGGTCATACGCTTTAAATCGCTTTTAATTTTAATATGTTTACACGAAGTCAAAGTCAGAGTATGAAATTTCATATTTTTTAGATAGAACAATAACTTTTTATCACGGGATAAAGTAAAAAATTCTAATAACTCAATTCGATACAATTTTCGTATTTATTGACGTCATCGTCATATTATTATTATTCTTATTATAATAGCTATCTAATCTCGAAAGAAAATATGCAAATAATATTGATATTAATATGCATACATCCTTGGTTTTCTTTTTATTTATTATATAAATTCTTCGTAACACAATTCAAGATTAATATTTTTCAAAAACAGGAATTCAAACTTCTTCGCGAAAAATGATCAAGCTTGCTTGATATTATATATTTTCCGATTGCAATAATGACATTTCACTTGTTACTGAGTCGATGAGTTTCCAACGCATAAATAAAAAGCCAGAAGTACCTATGCTGAACGAAATTCACAGCGCAATGCAATTTTTATATTTTACAAAGAAAAATTGCGATATACGTAAAAGGGAGCGCATCTCTCTCGAGGCATCTGTTTGCGAACAGGATTAATTATCGCCAGAATGTATTAATAGCTTCGCTCTCTCTCTCTCTCTCTCTCTCTCTCTCTCTCTCCCCTTTCGATTACACATAGCAGTACGATAACAAGAATAATTCGTGCATGGGCGCACATTATTCTCAAGCGTATTCCCTCCATTCTCTTGCCATCCTTTCATCAACATCGTATAATATATCGTGTTTAGATTATTAACGTTTCCGAAACTCGCGCTCGCGGATATTTGTCGTTCGATATATATCGAAGCGTTTCTCGTTCGCAGAGACATCGTTCGCTCCGCCCCATTCGCAATATTTCAGTTATTTTATCGGATTCTGCCGCTTGTCTGCGGATTCCGCAATATGCAGGCGCGGCGGCTGCTCGTTTCCGCCCTTGCTCGATATTCGCGCGCGCGGCCACGGCGACGCGGCCGAAGAAATCGCGAAACCCGATGACGTTGATTTCATTTTAATTGGTAACTCTGTACACCAGATACCCATTAATTAAACTGATAAATTAAAATCGCCATGCCGCGCCGCGCCGTGCCGCGTCGTTGCAATGCGGCTGGAAATTGATTAAATTCGTGTTTCGACTAACATGCGACCGAACCGTCGTTCCCAATTGACAAGGCGCCGCTCTTTGTGAGTCACTTCATTTTTAGACCATTTCAGAATTTATACATTTCTATATCGGTCCACTCCTTTCTTCACGTGTCTGTATAAATTATTTATTAAAAACCGGCGCGACATGATTTTCTTTTTCGTTTAGTTCGTTCTATTTATGATGCAGTAGATATATATATATATATATATATATATATATATATATATATATATAAACCTTATTAATTCTGCGACTGTGATTCATAAAGCATTGTTATTCTGAATCCATTAAAAAAGTTCGAGATACGAAAGAAGATAGAGAACGAGATGCGCACGATGCGAAAATATAAATTTTGTTTATTTATATTTCTTGTATATTTTGCATATATTCTATAATATTGCACATTACCCTACATAAATGTAAGCAGTCTTTCGGGCTAAAACCTTCATCCATACACGAATCCAATTACGAATCATATATTAAAATTAAATAAATAAATTGGACGCGTATCAGCAGATACGATCAAATTAAGCATTCTCTTTTATTTGAAAAATAAGGTTGAAAGGTAGAAGAGAATCTGCCATTACATTACTGACTTAGCCGAGCGCGGGATGAATTGGATGAATTTTCATTAAATATTGGAGGATATTGAGAGAATAGGCTTCTCTCGGTTATTCATTTTTTTTTTTTCGTTGCACAAAGTCGGCTTCGTCGTATCGATTTTCGCATACACAAGTAATATAACGTTATTAACGCTCTCAGCGAGAGAAAGAAACGTGCCATATCATATGGAAAGTGTGTAGCGCACCGTGATGCTGATTTCGTAGTAATTGACGAGCAGCTGTATATTATATATATATATATATATATATATATATATATATATATATGCAGACACCGTTAATTAAACTGATAAATTACAAGTGTCACACAAGAGTGCAGAGTAGCTAAAAATTGATCGCGCGCAGATTCGAGCGTACAAGCCGGGGATTTATATATGGAAATGCATGCTCGCACGCGCGTGCACACACATATATATGTATACATACATATATACACTGCTCACACATGCAATTCCGCCCCGCGCAAAACTCTTTGCAGTTTATGTATGCGTATGTACGCGAATGTATCGAAAAACACCGGGCGGATCGTGTGTGTCGAGTTTACGCGGAGCATTTTTTTTCCTTTTTTTTTTTTTTCATTTTCTTTTACAAATATGCACTCGCGCAAAAAAGTAGAGTGCACATCGCGACGAAGTTCTCGACGTATGTAGGTAGGATGCATCGGAACGCCGCTGGCTAAATAAGGGCGAGTGAAATGTGGGCGGTTTAACTTTGGCAAGTACAATCGGGTCGGCTTAACTTCGAAACGCAACCGCGCCTGTAATCTTACTTCGGCACGCGACCGCAGCAGTTAACTCTCTCTCTCTCTCTCTCTCTTCTATTTCTTTTGCAAAGCACGATTACCAGCGAGACGAACAGTCGACGAACCGCAATTCGGAAAAAGCATGACGTTGCGTTGCGTATATAGCGCGAGAGATTTGCATGTGTTTCCGCTTTTTGCTGCGATATTTTCGCCAAGTAAGCTCGAAAGCAGCGCGAGATATCCAGATACAAATCGCATCGATGTATTAATTAATATTGCGTATTTTGTTTGTTAGCGCCGCGATATAATTCATGCTTCATTGAATAATATATATACAATTCACGTATCGATGTACGATATACTACAATCTGAAATTATAAAAATAATATATCGAATAGATTGTATCGCGAACTGTCTGTAGGCTGTTTCTCTCAATTGAATTTCGGCCGAAAAAAGCCGATACAATGCAAACCACAGAGAAAAAGGGTAAATAAGCTCGTGTGCTTTTCTCTCTCTCTCTCTCTGAGAGTCGCGATTTTTACGCGCATTTTGGATCGCTGATCTCCCGAAAGTCGTTTGCATGTTTAAGAATATAAATTACGCATAAACTACAATATCTCTCAGCGTGTATATATATATATATATATATATATATATATATATTTTCCTTTTTTAATGAAATAAGATTAGCGTAAATTATAGCGAAATATCACGCGACCACGGAAACACAGTTTCTGTAGCAAGAACTCGACACACTTAACACAGGGTTTATTTATTAAAAAAAAGAAAGAAAGAAAGAAAGGAAATGAAAAAAGAAATCAAAAGGGCGAGATAATATGAATAGTAAATCATCTCGACCTTATACAACAATGTCGAGGCAAACTGTCATGTACAATGACATGTTATCGGACTCTTAAAATTAGATATCTCCATGAAAGATTGCCATTCACCACATGTCATCATTTAATTTCATGTTATGCAGGCATGTTTTTAACTTTACGTTATTGGTCGCGTTGTACTACTATACACAAGTGTTGTATTCCTGAAAGAGAGAGAAAGAATAAAGAGATGAAAGAGAAGAGATAGAGAAAGAGAGAGAGAGAGAGGATGTGATAGAGAAAGAGGAAACACGAGAGAAACTATCGATCGATACGCTTACATTCCCTCCATCCGAGCTTAAAGAGGAAATTTTGGGATTGCCACCACAGACGAAGTTTTGAACTTTAAAGCAAGATATAAAGCTCTTTCTTATCCTTGTATTAGAGGAAAGATTTTGTTAGACCACTCGAGTAGATAAAAGTCGCCGCGAATGGCAAACGACAATTTTGTACTGAATTCTCTTTAAAGCATAACATTCTTTTTTTACTCACGAATAACACACGTATAATTCTTGAAAAATGATTAATATTCCGTCCGTTGCGCTTGTTAGCTCGTCAGGATAATTTAGTTCTAAAATCTACCTCCGCTATCTTGGAACTAAAATATTAAACGTCACGTTTTCTAATTTGAAAATGGATGAATAAATTTTCCATATTCAAACGCGCGTGCACATGGGATTTTTTCCATTTTAGTATGAAATTATTGAATGATATTAATTAATAATATTGCGATGTGTTAATGCATCTGCTGGGATATAATACAAAATATTATTATTTAGCAAAATACATATTTCATTATTGCTATTCAAGTTTAATTGAATATTGTATTATTTTCGCTAATAGAGATACATTTTATATTAATAAGATATATATTATTCGTAAAATGATATGAATTATATATAAAAATTTAGAAAAGATATGAATTCAATAAAATTAGGACAAATATCGCGGAACTGTCGGTTTATTGTTCGAAATATTCGCAATCGTTAAATCATGATTATTAGTACAAGCATAGTCAGGATAGTCATCTCCTCTTGAATCGCGGTACATTGTAACAAAGTTTCTTGATTATCGATGCAGTCCTTAATTGAGAAACAAGCACATGTGTAGAATTTCCGTGCTATATTAATGTTCAGATTATGTGTAATAGTAGGTTGCGAACTTGTATTTCCAGCAAATAGCATTTTGTACATTTCGATTTCAATTATAACCTCGTTCTAATTATTATTAGTAATAATTTTTCATGCAAAGTTTTATAATTTTTAAAACTTTTGTAAATTTATAGAAAAAAATATATATAGATAAAGATATATGTATCTCTTAAAGAAAGGTCATGTATGATAATTTATATACATTTTTTATCAA